CTCCCACCCCACTCCTTTCAGGCGTAAGATTATATTTGAACTTCCCTTTAAGCGGTATATAGGGTTTAAATGTGTATCTTTTTTGCTTTCCACCGTCAACAGAATATATTATAAGAAACACTTGCCTGGCCACAGTATCATGTAACAAGCCACGTCTCTGCCATGGCCCAGGTTGGATGAATATTGTTTCTACAACACAAGACCACCTTGGCTTTCTGAATCTGATCTAAGTGAGAATGTATCATACAAAAGCCTATTGTAACAAAACAAAACAACGACAAAAACATAGACACAACAACAACAACAACAACAAAAGCTTAGTGTCACTCCCAGCTGTAGAACACGCAGTATTCTACTGAGATATCGGTACCAGTAAGCAACCGCGCATCAGTTATTATTATAAGGTGTCGAACATCGAGCAGATTTGAAGGAATAGAAGGTGTTGATAAAGCGATTAGGCCCAACACTTTTAGTGTTACAAAGAGCGACAGACAACACAAAGCATTATTTGTTATCGTAGTCGTATACCCTGGTCTGGATAGTTGCACTAAATTACTTATAGATTTATAAGCAACGCCCATCAAATAATGACTCACTTGTATACATGTATATATTATATATATTAATACAATGTTACATTATGTGGTATTCCCAACCCATTTATTAGCACCCCCGACCCACAGTGTCTATATATATACATGTAGGCATACGTTAGACTATGTACGTGGCGCAAACAAAATAATAGTTTTGAAGTAGGCTAAAGAACCACCAAGACAAAAAATATGAAAATTAAAAATAATCTGAGTTCTGATCAAGATAACGCTTTGAAATAACCTGTTCTTTCTCGACCTTTAGAATTTGTGTATGATCGACCGACCGCTCTTTATTTTAGGCGTGTAGGCCAAGGACCTTACAACAACTGTAAAATCCCCTTGGCCTAGGCTAGGCAGGCAGGCCTTTCTGCCCTGCTGCTCTTTGTGTCTGACAAATCTTCACAAGCTGCTAGCCTAGTTTTAGGCCTAGCCAAGCCTATTGCAACATTGGCGGAAAGTTTTGATTCGAATGCCTGTTGGTCTTTAAAAACAAGGTTGTCTTTCATTATTTTTGAAAATTAGCTGTTTTTGAAATAAAGATGAATCTTATCCTATGTTTTGTTACGTAGTATTATTTCCTTTGACACAAAAACCTAGAAGCAGAAGAGAACACATAAAACGAACAACGTGTAGTTTTTACTATTGTTCATAGATTTGATTAAGCTTACATCGAGTAAATATATCTGGCAAAGACACATTTCCCGCACACATGAGAAATGTGTATGATGTTCAGATTTGGCAGCCTTTGAGTGTATTTTACCGTTATTGTCAAAGCAGAAGTTGTTTGAGTGTTTGATCAGAAGAAAATCTCTGAATGGATCTAAGAAGCTTCCAGTACCAGTTCAATTTTTTTTTCAAATGGAAATGACTGCACATCCATTTTTTTTACAGATCTACAGAAATATTCTTGTTGAAGTGGAACCAATTTTAAGATATTTCCTGTTCAAGGTGCTTAAATCTGGGCTTTTGTTACCGTTCCTACGAGCAAGATGGCGGATTCCGAAGAGCAAGAAAACGTGGAGACTACTCCAGCCAACGATGTCGTTGTCACAAAGTATAAGATGGCCGGGGATATGGTCAATGGTAATGTAGAAGTCATGGTTTATATCAAAGGAACTTTAAAAAAAAGGTTTTTACAAGTATTTTTATTTGAGCTTGATGCTATTGGTTGCCATGTGGTTCGCATGCTGACTGCTGTGGTGACTGACTGCTGTGTTATTTCAGACTCAGACCATTTCTCTTGAAGACTCTCTAGACAGAGTAGATCTGTATAAACTGTATTGTATTGTAGCACACACGTCCGTATGCCTAGATTCTAGATCTAGATCTAGATCTATATATTGTAACTGTCAAGGGCCAGACTCTACGCCCAAGACAGGATTCTAGAATCTAAAGCAGGATTATGAGGATTATTGTAGAGAAAGTGGCTATTCTCACCCGCCCGGAAGTTCTCGCAAGATCAACTCCTCCCCTCTTCTCTCTCTCTCTGTCTCTTTCTGAAT